ATTAAAGTAAAACAAGTGAAATAGACAAATATAATTGGGGGAAAAATTTGGAAAAAATTATTTCACCTCAATGACTTGTTCGTAAATATTTGAAATATCTATCTAAAAATAAAGAGAGAAAAATTCTAGAAAGTAAAGAAGAAGAAGAAGAAAAGAAGAAGAAAAGAAGAAGAAAGAAAGGATTACTATAATTCAAGAGAAAGTTGGACCAGTCAGTAATCTCACTCAGTGTAAAAAAATTCTGCTAAAACTATCTCTGCACATCACCTCATACTCACTTTATAATTGTGTGGTATAACAGGTGAAATCTGACGGCATATGAGTCTTATGCTCTGTTCTTTGATATTGTAGACAGTCCACGATCTGGGATAGAGGCCGCAGTACAGGGCATCGGCACCACTGAAGCCCCAGTCCCATGACCCCAAGCCCTTCTTGGCCTTACTGCGGGGAGGAAAGGGTCTCATGGCAAAGGTCGCGTCACATCCCACGGTACATTATGTGTCACGTAATTAGAACGTTCAAATTGCAAAAGGACACAAAAAAAAAAAAGAAAAAAAAAGCTAGAAATGAAAAAACATATTTGTGATGTACTACACATGCATAGTACATACATGGTCACATCTGCATTAATAGTATTGTAAAGACAATAACAAAAGGTAAAGTACACTTCTGTTCTTTCTTTCTTATACCATTTTCCACATGCATAGAAATTATGGTGTTTGGACCTGGACTGATGGTTATCAAATGAGAGAAAAAACAAGGAGCCTCCGAGTATCAATAACACCCATACATCCTCACAGGCAATACAAATAAAAGATGAAAATATGAATTTTTGGTCTTTCTTTATTACTACCAACTGTTTTTACTTATTTCACTGCATTTATAATAAAAAAACATATCAACCCTCAGGGAATTATAAAGATGGAAAATAAAAGGAAACAGAGTTTAACATCAGCCTTAAGGGCAAGGAATCCATTCAATTAATCAATAAGTTTATTTGAAGTCCGTTACTTAAGTTTTTTTTCATTCTTGATTTAACTTAACTTCCCATAACTCTTTCACACATAGACAACTTTGTGTTTCTGTTTGCTAACTCCTTGGTAACAGTGATAATATTCAAAGACATAACAAAGATGAAATTTCATAATCTTACATACTTAACACTACAACCTCATTATATTCCACATACCATAGCATTCACTTAGGCCTAACACGTGTAGGCCACAATTCTGGTATTCATATACAGTATGAGATGTTATACACATTAATTACTTACATTACAATCACCACCAACATAACCAGTAGGCTATGTGATTATACCATTGCTACCAGACTTTACCTTTATACCATCTAGAGCTTAGCAAACATCTTCGAAACAACTGTACCTCATATACCATCCCATACCTGTGTACTGACAAGACCTTTTGGTAGAGCGTATTGCCCTTGGGGTCTCTGATTGTCACGATGAACTGATTGGCCATGACGGTGTGGTACTCGTAGATTCCTGGTACCATCTGGTAGCGGCAGAACTCCCCCCTAAACCCGCGGCCAATCGTCCCCGAGCCTATGCCTCCCAGTGGGACACCTGTCGGAGATAGAAAAAATCTGGT